TTCTAAAGATCACTTCTTGCATCAAATTATAAGTTTTATGTCTAAGATTTATTCATTTTAATGTATTAAATCAAAAAAAAATATTCATAAAATTTTCAATAATAGAAAAGATTGAAAGTCATAAACAATATTCAGATTGACATCATATAGTTTTATTACAATTTCAATTATTATCTAAATGAAACAATAAATAATGTTATTGATTGTTTTCTTTTAAATGATGTATCAGAACTCAGGACGTTGGCTCCCGAAGTCGGATTTCATGAATTCCCGACAAAATCCCTGAGGAAACTCGTCATTTCTGAGCGGAACCCGCCTGGAAAAAGTCAGGAATCTGATGGAGAAATGTGGTAACCGTATTCGGCTACCGGTTTCAATATGTTCCTGTCGGTTTCGATCCAAACCACATAAACCCGCTCACCGGAAATACTGCTTTCATGAAATCTCCGGAGTACCATCGAACCGGCCGTTTCCGTGCCAGAGTGTTCGACCTGGGAAGAAAATTTCTATGAATAAATCAATTCAATATTTAATCATTTTTTGTCAATCAACGATTAATTATTTTCATTTATTCATTAAAATAATAAATATTCTAAAACAAATTGATCAATCTTATTTCGGAATCATTCAAGCGCTTGGTTTTGTCGAAGAAAAATATAATTTAATTGAAATATTTATAAATAATACAAAGAATCTTAACATATTTATTTATATAGTTGTATTTTATTGATTGATCGAATGTATTAATGGATATGTCATAAAGTTGAGAAATACAGATTTCTCATTCATTTTTGTTATCTTGAGGGTAAGGTGAGGGGTGTGTCAAAATAATTGTTCCTTAATCTTTGTACGTCAGTTTCATTCCAAACTTTGAAAAAGTCGTACAATCGCGACTCTTTCATCAGTGGCACGAGGTGCATACATTAAAGAATCGTAGATGATATAAGTAATACTATGCGCAGTATCACCACGTGGATGATCTTTCGTATCATTGTTTTTCAATTTTTTTTCTTTCTTTCTGAACATGCGTGGTTTGACTTACGTGAATAAGGCACGTATAGATACTACTATGTCAACTATATGTTTCAGAACGGAACAAAAAAATGCGATAACAGTTAAACTTCGCAAGTGCTATGGTTTTAGCACGAAAACACAGTAATAGAGCTACTTTGATTAACAAACATGCTCTCATCATCGCTAACTGTCCTTGTATTGGAGAAAAGTGTGCTGAGTTCATCCTTATAACAGTAGTGTCAAACTCGAAAGTTGAATTCAGTTATTGAACAACCCTACCCTCAAGTTATTAAAGATTTGTCCTCTGAAAATACTTAATTTCGTATGCTATTCAATAAGTGATCCGTGGTTTCGCGCCGCATTTCGCATACGATTCTGAAACTCGTGTGCCATCTAGTTTTAATGTAATTTCTAGTTTCTTTTATAAAAAACTTTTGAGTATTTTGTTTCCTTTTCACCTAATTAAAGTAATTAAAAAGATTTCTGTTTATCTTCATTTTCCATTTAAACAAGTTTTCTCGTATTTTCCTTTCATTATTTAATATAATTCAGCACTGTCGAGCCAAGTATTACTCAGACCACCAGTGACTAATACTTTTCCATTTAATAAGACCGATGCTGCATGATCAAGTCGGGCAACACTCATATATCCCGTTGTCGCCCAATTACCTGTCAGAGGATCATATAATTCAGCACTGTGGATCCAAACGCCATAAATTCCACCAGTGACTAGTATTTTTCCATTCGATAAGATCGATGCTGTATGATGAGCTCGTGCAACAGTCATACTTCCTGTTCTTGTCCAATTACCTGTCGATGGATCATATAACTCCGCACTGTCGAGGGAACCAGAATTGTCTCCACCACTCACTAATACTTTTCCATTTAATAAGACCGATGCTGTGTGATAAGATCGTGCAACGTTCATATTCCCTGTTCTTGTCCAATTACCTGTAGATGGATCATATAATTCAGCACTATTGAGATAACCATTACTCCATCCACCAGTGATTAATACTTTTCCATTTGATAACGTAGATGCTGTATGATCATATCGGTCACCTTTCATATCTCCTGTTGTTGTCCAATTACCTGTCAGAGGATCATATAATTCAGCACTGTTGTACTGAACATAACTCCATCCACCAGTGACTAATACTTTTCCATTTAATAAGATCGAGGTTGCATGACGATTTCGTGGAACATTCATATATCCTGTTATTGTCCAATTACCGGTGGATGGATCATATAACTCAGAACTGTTGAGAAAATGATGACCCCATCCACCAGTGACTAATACTTTTCCATTTGATAAGATCGATGCTGTATGATCAGATCGTGCAACATTCATTTTTCCTGTTGTTGTCCAATTACCTGTCGATGGATCATATAACTCAGCACTCTGGATCAAATGACTATCAGAGCCACCAGTGACTAATACTTTTCCATTTGATAACCTCGATGCTGTATGATCAAATCGGGCAAAATTCAGATTTCCGGTAGTTTTCCATTCTACATAACAAATAAATACAACTAATTATTAATAAAATACACAAGTAACGCGGCCTAGTAGCCGCTAAACCCTCTACTGAAAGGATAATATTAGAGTTAGAGCGCTACTATTCGTCCGAATAGAGAAAAAAGTTATTTTAGTTGAACGATCTGATCTTTTGATAATTTGTCAGAATGTTTTACGTAGACTAATTTCACTTCCTGAAATCTTCGGAAATTATAACACCTAGTCGTTTGTCGGCCTCTCTCCGGTCGATCCTTCACCGCTAGCCGTTAGTACCTAATTAGTGTTTAATGATATTTTCATATTAAAAAGTACCTCGTTCTTGTTGAGTCCGACTCTAGCAAAGTTGCCGAAATTCTTCACAACTTCGTGACCTACAGTATATCTTTTATTATCATTTCTACTTGAATGAGTTGGTGATCTACGTAGTTTTTTCTCGAAGCTCGAAAAGACGTCGTATATATGTCGTATCGAAGTTATAACTTCGACCAAAAGCTAACTTCGATACGACATATATATATACCTTAGAAAAATTATGGACACCATGCGACAGTCTTATAAATCTCACTTTTCAACTAATTTTCAAAAGAAGCACCTAGTCGTTCGTGTGCCTCCCTTCGGTCGGCTACTGACGGCTAGCTGTTCCCATGCGTACTTATTTTACTATCTTAACTTCATTCGGACGAAGACGCGTTCCGAAAATGAGCACATTTCGGAAAATCAATTCATAATCAAAAACTTAGAAGCTTTACATAGCTAAATGATTCTCTGGAAAAGGTTTCAATCTTCTCTCCACCACGAGGAACCTTAAATAGCTGCCACCTATGTTCGTACAGAGCAATACTTAATTTCTGACCAAGAAATCTTAAAGCTCTATAAAAATCACAAAGTTTGTTCTTAACAATATTATTCTGCAAATCGACGACTAGTCGCTCGTCGGCCTCCCTCCGGTCGGCCACTCGCGGCTAGCCGCTACATGTACATTTTCACTCTTCCATTTAGTCTAGAGTCACTTTTGAAACTAATTCATTCATTCTCTTCTATTCCTTCTTTAAAAGTCACCCTCTTTGTGCTACTGTGACTGTTGAAGACAACACCTGACCAGCGAAACATTATTTTGAATGACTGGTACCAGATGATATTCGTATAGTATAGCTGTTTATAAAAGTGTGTGATCTCAGTAATATGCTGATGACTATGGAGATCCAGCGATCGGACGTCAGTCAGCTATTACATTTTGTTCTACATATTGCCGCTTAAAACATTATCGTCTAAAAAATTGATCCTTTGTCGCAAAAAACGGGTCAGAAGGTGTTCATGAAAAACCTAACCTCGGATTGAGATCCCCGACCCCGATTACCCTTCGGTCAACCCTGACTTGACAACGAAGAAAATTTTCATTCCTTAATTAGCTAATTAGCTAATGAGCTAATTGGAATTTCGAAAATCTAACACTGGATTCGAGATCCTCGACCTCGATTACCCTTCGGTCAAACTTTGTCCCCCACTAGGGTCACTGAATAGTCACTATCGAACAGTGATGTGAAAGAACGAACCAACCAACCAGAGATGGGCAACTCCAATCGGCTTCGTAACTTATAAGAGAACAGCAGTAACAACTATTTATACACGAATAGTCTCCAACAATTGCACTTTGAGAAAGAATAGAAACGTAGAAAGAATTCATGAAGCCGCTGGTTTATAATCGAATTATAGTCATTTCTTAAACTATTTGATCAGTCAAACACGCATTTCGCTGTTTTCTCTTCAACCGCTGTCAGCTTCAATAGCTATGGATTCTTCACCTACTGCATCAACAATCGAATTAACGCTTCCTTCACGTAGCAGAGAAACGGATTCATCTAAAGATGACAAACTTCCGGGAGTGACCAAAGCAAAAATTGGTCGTCAAGGTCTTGAGCGTTATTACAATGATTTCAAAGAGTATACCACTGGTGATCTCAAAGGTAAAACGTCTGCAAGATGTGCCTTATGCAAGGAACAAGTCTGGCATGTGAAAAATTCCACGTCGAACTATAGTCGTCATTTGCAACGGAAACATCCAGCTGAGTTTCAGCTGTGGTCAGAAGATGTGGCCAAGGGGACGAAATCGGGCGACAGGATGCAGCAAACTACGTTGGATATCAGCTTGTCTCCGACAACTCATACAGCAAAATACTCGTTATGTCATCCGCGTCAAATTGAGTTAACACGAATGGTATTTCATGATTTCGTCATCGGACTCGACTTGCCATTATCAATTACGGAAAAAACAGCATTTGTTCGGGCTATGGCGACAGTCGATCCGAAATTTCGTGTTCCATCTCGCCGATCAATCGTATCTTCTTATCTACCTCGAGCATATGATCAAATTTCGACCAAATTGAAGAATGTATGCACATCAGCTCTGTTCGTTTCTTTGACGTTCGACGCGTGGACAGATCGTCGTATGCGTGCTTTTTATGCAGTTACTATCCATTACATCAACGGAATGGGTCAACTGAAAGCTCACTTGCTTGCGTTTAATCCACTCTCAGGTAAAATATATTGTTTAATTCAAGGCCTGGAGAAGTGTGTAGAAGAGACGGCAAGAAAAGGAAAAGGTCAATGAGGATGCATTCTTCGTCTGAATAACGTGTATTGATCCATCGAAACAAAGAATATTACTAGTATACTTTCGGCTACTTTCATCTTAGTCATGCTGGATGTATCAGAGAAAACATACTTAAGCTTGGTTATCAGAAAGAAAAGAAAAACGGGTGTTGACCATCTTTTGCACTTAATTGTCGTTACGAGTAGAAAACAAAATAGACGACAATGCGAGCGGAGAACGTGAATAGTCAGGGTCATCGAAGTGCGTGTGAAGTGAATACATCCAGCACACATCAAAAGAGAATGAACTCAGTAAACTTTTCTCTTTCGCGAGGTTAAGAATCGGCTGATCTCGAAGTTATTAGTCCGCAGTAATTAAATTGTTTTACATGTCAATTAGTTAATTGTTGTAGGTAGCCACACCAGCGAGAATCTATACATAGAATATGAACGTGTATCAACGGCTTTTACTATTGGAAATAAGATCGTTCGCTTGATTACGGACAACGCGTCGAACAATTTAGCGGCTTTCGGCGAACTAGTTATTCCAGGTTTCGAATCATATTTCGTCAAGGAGGAGGACGTTGAAGACATCGATGATGATGTAGACGAAATAAACTTGAGCATGTCTGAAGGAAATCGTCCTGATGATGAAAACGTGCTAAATGAGTCTGAGAGAGGAGAAGAATTGTTACGTTTGCCGTGTTTTATTCATACCCTTCAATTGGTTGTTAAAGACGGTTTAAAAGAAAGTAATTGTTCTCGATCGGCATTGGCCAAGGTGGCTCAAATTGCCAAGTTAAGCCATACGAGTATACCAGTGGCTGAAAAATTGCAGGAGTTGAAGTTCAGTATTCCAGAAGCTGTTATCACACGATGGAACTCTCAATTCATTACTATAACGAAAGTTCTCGATATACCCAATGCGTTACTGAACGATCTTCTGGCAGAGCAAAAGAAAACTGAATTGATATTATCCATGAAGGATTTAAGTGTGTTACGTGAATTTACATCGATTTTCACATTATTTGCCGAAGCCACTACCCGAACACAAACTGAGCAGTGCTTGTCGATATCGCTAGTGGCACCAAGTGTACTAGCCATTTATTTTGATCTCGAAAATGAGTCGAAATTATCCAAACATTCGAGTTCATTATGCCACGCACTTATTCTCTCATTGAAGCAGCGATTTGGTGGTCTACTTATTAATCTTGAAATACCTGTCGATGACTCTATCAAGCGCCGAAGCACATTTAGTCTATTTTCTGACGATATTTTTCTTATCTCCGCATTCCTTGATGGACAGTTTCGTCTTCGTTGGATTTTACAATCAGCATTATCTGAAGAAACGAAGTAAGCCTCACAATAATTCGCAGACACATTCTTCTTCTAATTTGCAGCGGATGTATGACACTAATGAATGTTATTTGGAATACATGTAACCCATATGAGACGAAAAACTGATGTATTTCTCTCGTTCTAGGATTCGTTTATGTGATCGAATAAAGCTACTAGTCATCCAAGCAGCCTTTCGCCTTGAGCATTCATCGGTTATTACTCAAACTGTTGATGATCCACCAAATGAGCTGACGGCAGCAATCGCTGGTGACGATCCATCGGGTGTCAAAGAGTCGTCCGGTGCCAGTGTTACGCCGAAGCGAAAGAGTCTATTTTCATATTGCGAAACCTCATCGGCAGCAGCTTCAAAGAAAATGCGCGCCGATATTATCGACGAGATCAACGAAGAGATGGTATTATTTTTGAAGGATCAACGTTATGAAAGTGATCTTATTTTTGCAAGAAAAGGCCATTGTCCACACTTATATCGATTAGCCATGAGGGTATTGTGTGTACCAGCGACATCGGCTCCTGCTGAGCGAGTGTTTTCTCGAAGTGGGCTACTCATGAGACCACATCGTAGTCGGCTGACCAAAGATTCGTTGGCAAAATTAACATTTGTTAAATGCAATATTGATCTGTTGAGTTGAATACGTCATGTTGATATTGAAGTTCCATGAATAAAAAACAAACATTTTTACACCTTGTCACTGTTGACCATCAATTTACGAACAAAAAGTTATACTCTCAGAGTCTCTGTATGAACTATTCCAATCTGAACGAAACGGAGTTGAAGTGGAGTTGAGTTGGAGTTGGAGTTGCGATGTAGCACAATGGAGTTGGAGTTGGAGTGGAGTTTGCAGAAAATAGCTGGAGTTGGAGTGGAGTTGGAGCGGAATTCTGAAGAATCAACTGGAGTTGGAGTGGAGTGGAGTTGGACCCTAATGATGATGGAGTTGGAGTTGGAGTGGAGTTCACGAAAACGACTGGAGTTGGAGTGGAGTTGGAGTGGCAGAACCCCGGAGTTGCCCATCTCTGCAACCAACCAACCAACTAACCAACATCAACTCGTTTTTTTCTGTAATACCTGCTCGACGCATAACCCTCCTTTCAGTAGAGGGATTAACTCTAAACTATACTTATTGTTATTGACTCTTATACGGATGTGAAAGAGAAGCGATTATCTTGTTGTAATTTAAACCAACATTCATATTCTCTAACTGTTTGTTTATTTTTTTGCGATCTAACTTCGGAAATATGTGCAACAGTATTTGTCCATTTCTTTCAAATATATCTCATTTTCAACAACGAACTTTTCGAAAACTAATACCTTTTGTTAATGTTGTCAATGGTTTCTCTGTAATTTCACTTGATTTTATTGTTTCTAGCGTGATCGTCATTATTTCTGTTGTTGTGGTTGTTGTTGTTGTTGTTGTCGTATCTTTATTTTTCTTCTTGATAATAACTGTTGGAATAATAATGATCAAAATGATCAAAATTGCAACAATACTAAAAATTATAATCCATCTAATTTTTCTTTTTTGAAAACGTTTAAATCTAAAATGTTCAATGATTATTTTGTATTTCTTATAAAATATAATTTACATACAATGTTTTTGATTGAATAGATGATACTTTAATCTAAAATAATCGAAAAATTGTAAAATATATTAATAAAAAAATAACTTAACATACTTGTATATCGTTGTGATTCATAGTTAATAGTTTTGATATAATTGGAATTCTTAATGCTACAAGAATGAAAATGATGATGTTTAGTTTTGAACGATTTAACTTTGATCTAATTATCTTATAGAAAATATTCTAAAATATAACTCTATTAAAACTTTCGATTACACAATAATATTTCTGATAAAAATATATTCTCTTATTATTATTATTTATCTATCTGGCCAACACAAAACATTTATTATATGAACAAATATCTTTCTCTTAAAAAGCATTTCTTTTTATTCCATAAGCTTGCTTTTCCTTCTAATAATAATATTAAAAATATTTGCTTCAACAATCTCTCGTCATGTTTTACATAAAAAACTTTCATACTTCTGGCTAATCATATAGTATAATATTGAATAGGTAAAAATAATAAATGATTAAACTATGAATCATTTCCATCTCATTCAGCAGCAAAATTTGACGTTTTATTCTAACCAAGAATATCATCAAACACATATGAATAAAAACAAAAGTCAGAACGAAATATTTGTTTTTCAATAAAATAAAGATGATTGATACTTTAATTATTTGAGAGTTTGTGAGAGTGAATATAATTATCACAAACTGGAAGTTTTTCACATTTTTAAATAGAATGATTATCAAGATGGTATGGTGACCGGACAGAATGTCGCAGGACATAACTTCGCAATATCAAATGGCTTTGTTTTTGGGCAATACCCGTGAGATTTACTATAGAAAAACAAAATAATATGACTTATTCTGGCAAGAAAAATAACTTGAAAGAGCTAAAAAATAATCAAGCTATTAGTTAATATCTCTAAAATAGAACAGTCGAAAGCGAAGAAAAAGCTTATACTATTAATTAACAATAATTTGCTTATTTAATTAAGAGAGACTATTTCACAAGAGGGACCAAACTGTCCGGAGATGGTTCTGGAATTTCGACGTTTCGTATCACGTTTGAGAAGTCATGTTGTGTATATACAAAAGCCGAAACATCAGGGTCGCATGTGCTACTAATAGCGGAGATATCAGGGTCGCAAGTTTAGCACCCTAAAATCACTTTTCAAATTTTGTGCTTTTTTCATGACTTTCTTGTTTTGACCAATATCTTCGTTAGAGATCAATCAAACATATAAGTATCTTATACCATTCGATAGCGCAGAATCTGCTCTAAAAAAACATGTAAAGGACCATAGTTCAATAAGTGACTTATGAGATTGAAATACAAAAATGCGTGGCCATTTTTTATCACATTTTACGTATTTCGGCCAAAAGTTTACTATTAGTCAGGTGTCCCACAAAAACGAAGATAGATCCTGAAAGCTCGTGAAAAACTGCATCTTCTGGTATAAGAACATAAGGGTAAAAACGCGGGATAGTTATAAAAGTTTCCAAAACAAATCTGTCCGCTACCCGTCTTTTTCGCCAGAATGAACATTGAATTCGTATTTTTCTAGTAGTATTCCTTTTAATTTCTGTAGACCAAAGAAGGTATTCAAGCGCGATTAGATAGTATATTTTCACTATACAGCAACTGCTCAAATCGGGTACACTTACTGTGTACTAAATGGGTACCCTTCGGGTCTTCGAGTACCACGCTAGCACGATACGCTTGGATATCAAAGTTCTATGAGAGGAAACTACCCTAGACTCTCGAGCGGCATGCGAGAGATACTCTGAAACATCTTTTTTTTCCTTAGGGAAACCGTCTTGGACCATCATGTACGATCATATGGGGCGCCCTTTGGGTCCTCGAGTCCTATAGTGAAAGGATACACTTGAGTCATCAAATACCATGACACAACGATACGCCAGATCTATAAGTGTTGTAGCATGATATCTTTGATCCCCAAGTCGTGCCCTTAAGGGATATTCTTAGGTTCTGATATGGTACTATGCTGGATACTCTTTAAGCCTCTTAGTCCTATCCTAGGGTGACAGATTGATTTCCGATATGGTAAAAGGAAGAAACATGACATTCNTTAAAAATTCATTATCTCAAGAATGGAACTTGTGTTCCAACTGAAATTTTTAGCATAGATAGACTTGAAGACTCTCAACATTTTCTGAAAGTTTCAATGAAAAAGGACTTAGCGTTTTGTAGATGTCGAGTTTTCTAAAAATAGTTGTTTCTCGGAATTCATTGAAAAATTAGCTTTTCTTGCAAATCGGGTTTCTAAACAAGGGGACGTCCTTTTTCATTGAAACTTTTAGAAAATGTTGGGAGTCTTCAAGTCTATCTATGCTAAAAATTTCAGTTGGAACACAAGTTCCCTTCTTGAGATAATGAATTTTTTATTATAAACAGTTTTTTAGACTGAATTTTAAAAAAGTCGAAAAAACACCTTTTCATTGCACACCTAATATCTCGAAAAAAGAAGATTATTTTTTGATGAAATTTTTAGTATATACTGAGTGTCCTGTGGCATACCTATGGGCAACATTTCAGGTCAAAACTCCATGATTTAGCTTGGAGGCTAAACACACAGGGAAGCCTTGAAAATCCAGTAAAATGAGGGTAACTCTTGAAAGGAAGAGATTGGGGGAAAACCCATCTAGGGTTTTTACCATACCAATGCGCTCAACTAAATAAGATATGAACGAATGAAAACGGGAGGTATCATGTCAGATGGTTCCCTCGTGAGAACATATGTTGACAGCAGTATTAAGTGAGCAGTATTCGCATTGATAATTATAAGTATGCATTGAAATAGAAGAAGTACGTATGCAGGTATTGCAGCATAATCGACCACATGAATAACATTTGAAAATAAGTTCCCCATTGAAATACATCGGAGTATTACATTTGTAACAAAATTGATGGTTGTTAAAATAAAGATTTTGATGATTTTGAATCATCTGTGGATCATAATAATTGTTGAAATTATAAAGAGGAAAATTACTACCATGTGTGGTAGATAAAGAAAACCCATATGATGATTGATTGAAATTCGACGTATTAGTAAATGGTGTTTGATAATTCGTGATAAAACTCATGTTGTTATTTGATGATTTTTCTGCGTTTTCTGATTCACTGGTTTTTCTCTTTTTTCTGGTACTATGAAAAGAAGAAATGTGTCCGCAGTTATTTACTTGCAAGGAAAACATACCTTTTAGTCTGTTTCGAATCAAATTTAGCACTTGTAGATTTCTCTTTAGTTATTTTTCGCTTTCGAGCATTTTCATTTTTTTAAATTTTCATATAAGCATCAACACTCGTGATGCTTTCTCCATAAGGACGTTCTACTTGTTTCTTTTTATGATTAGTTTGAGTGATTGAAGGAGCCATATGTTTATCAATAGGTTTCGTTAAAGCACTGAGTGTTTCATCATTCGAAACGATGCAGTTCATAGGTGATGGCACAGCTGATGAAACTGTACATGCTATTTGAAGACCTTGATCATCACTTTGACAATTCAACAGATTAGTATCAGCAACTACAACAGGAGATGTAACATAGAATTTCTATATAAGTTTAGTAAAGTACCTTTACCTGACGGATTTTCATTCAACAGACCAGTATCAGATGATGTTACGGATGAGTAAATCGATTCTAAACATTTTATAAAACATTTCTAGCAAACTTCTGAGAAATAAATTTACCGGGAAACACTGGTTGATCAACATGAGAGTAAAGCACTCTCATAGCATCAGATAGTGCTGATGAAGTATCTATATTTGTGAAAAATATTAATCACACTTTTCTCAAGCAATAGCCTACCTATAACTGCTGTGGAAGTTAATTCGATAGTTGTTGATACAGGATTAGTGTGATGATGAAGATTAGGGACAGAAACTAATCGAAAAAAATAACAACTAGAAACGTCTTAAGGATAAGCGGAAAGACCTGCGTGATCTATATGTTGCTTTATGAAATAAAAGACTGAGTAAACTTCGATTGTTATAGTAGCAACATATGATAGATATAGAAAATGACATATCTATTCTAAAATAACGTACTTGGAATAAGATCATTAGTTTTCAACGAATTCATCGAAGGCAAAGGAATTGAGTTTTCGACATCTAATATAAATAAAAATAAAATAGGATGACATTTATGTACTACCAGCATACCCAATGTTGTGGAAACAACTGTAGACAAATCTATGTCGATGTTATTGATAGTTTTTGTATTTATATCAAGATTACCATTGATTGACGATGAATTGTTATTTAGTTTAAAGAAGATATCTAGAAAAAAAAACCATTAAATGGTAATCAACTTGTCTATACTCTATTTAACGAACTGTTTGGACATGATGATCGACGTAAACGATAATGAGATGTAATTCTTGGTGGAGTGTTGTAAATATCATCAGTTGTATTCGATTGAGGTGTTGATTCATCAACACCTGATGTTGCTAAAGGTTGAAGAAGTTTCTCCTTTGAAACAGCACGTCTATCGAAAGGATATATTCCAGATTTTGCGAATCCAGCAGAACAATGACCTGGTAATAAATGATTTCGAAACAATTGTAATATCTAAATAGAAAAAGGTTATCATTGTAATTAAGTATTGGAGGAAAACTTACTAAAAGTGCAAATGTTTGTTTAGTGAGCGATTGAGAATTCGTTTTTTGAAAATGACTCGATAAGAGTTTTCTCCACGCTTGCTTAAGTTTCGACAGAGTTACAACGTCCAATGGTTGTAATATCGTTGTGCTGTGAGGAGGCAAACACTCGATATGAATGCCATTATCCATCACAAATTTGATTATTCAACTTGATAAATGTGATCGATGTCCATCCATAATCAATAAAATCGTTTTTTTCACTGATTTAACGTTTGGTACGAAATGTAATTGTGACCAATCGAAGAAGACGGTTTTCTCGCTCCATCCGGAAGTAGTGCCATTAAAACGAGAACCAGGATAACTGTTTCTTGGCATCCACAGGTCAAATAATTTTTGAGCACGATATATTATATAAGGAGATAGAAATCTAAGAAAAATTAGTAAGAAAAAAAAGTACTGTATATTAAAACCTACTTTCCTGCTGCAGATGTACACATGATCAAAGTTGTGTAACTTTTTCCTGAACCACCTTGTGTGCATGTAGCATATTTCGAATCTCTCTTGATAATTACTTGCTTGCGACCAGGATCATCACCAAAAGCAGACTCGTCTACATAATATATTGCATCAGGTGAATTGAACAACTGCAATTTCGCCAACACACTTTCCAGATGATCAAACCAACGATCTAATATTTATGATTAAGAATACTTAATAAAGAAAAGCTTGTACTTACCAACAACTAACTGAGTACAAGAAACTGATCGTACTTTTTCGAGTTTATATGCTTCAACAAGTTTGATCTCATTCTTCCACCGTTGGCGAAAACCATCAAACAAATCACGTAAAGAAGAATTTTTGTGAATGTTACTTTTATTAAGTTCTAACATAAAATCACGCGAAATTGAAATGAGATCTAATCGGGTTAATGGTTGTTGCCATTCTTGATACTTCTACACAACATGAATCAGGAGTTTTTCTTCTTCAAATGATAAAATCGTTTTAGCACCAGGTTTTCCACCACCTCGACGATTCGATAACCGTGCATAAAGCGTTGATACTGGAATGTGACATTTTTTTCCTGCTTCCATTACTGTTAATGTATTTTTTCGAATGCATTTAAGTGCAATATCAAGATCAATAGCAGAGTAAGTAGATTGTTTTTTTCGAATGTATTTACGAGTCATATTGGTTCAAGTAAAATGAAATAAATGAAGAAATTAAGTTCTATTCGACTTTGCAAAGACACCGATAAATATATTTGAATGCGGAATATGAAGAATAACAATGATTTATATGAACAAAGAAAATTTTCTTTCTTATTCGTTTCATCGTCAAATATAGACTATACTACATAGTCCATAGTATCAGCAAATAAGAATAAGACGATCATCTTGTCGCGCATATACGAAAAACACATTACGATACACTGTAGTTTCTTTTTCAAATAATACGTCATGATTTTCTCTTTACAACTATATTTGAAATATTCGAAGTATCGTACAAAAGCTCTACGATGATAGAGCATTGAAAACTGAATATTTTTCATGAGAAGAAACTTTTAAAAATCCATAGGGATCTTTTAAAACTTTGATTTTACTAAATCCATGTCGAAAGACTGAGTTTACACATTTACCCGGTCTTTTTGGCTTGAATTACACATTCACCCCACATGGGTTAAATGTAGAAAAATTGTTTGCTCAAAACTAGTTTTGCAAAGATCCAAGCAAAACCTTCTTCGAAGGTTTTAGCAATCGAATTAGTATAGGACTGTAGAGAAGCTTTTTGAGTATCTGTTGGTGAAACAATTGTCAAAAACCGACGTCTCCATCGTTCAGAAATTTGGTTTTATACTGCAACACAAAAATTGCTGGGTTTATACATTTACCTCAACAGAGAAAGCAAGTTTATCGATTTGGACAAAACGGGGAAATTCGATAACCGAAAACTCGGCCACAAAGAACTTGCTGTAGATAGCTTCACAGACAAGATTTTCAGAAACGGTTTTCAGCAATCGATAGAGAATAAGCTAAACTAGATAATTTGTGAAGAAAGTTTTTCAAAATAATCAATAATAAAAAAGTTATAGTAATTATGCCGAGACTCACTCGTTTTGTTTTGACAATCACCCCTCTTTACTCTAGAAGAAAGAAATTCATAATGTTCTTTATTTCGATCGTAAAATCTTTCTTGAGTATCGAAACAAATAGTGATGAACCTGTCAGATGTACTACGTTTCATACCATCTATCTCAAACATATGACAGCGTGAGCGGATGTCCCAAGTCGCAGCGAAGGTTCGAATTTACCGAAAAGCCGACCTAAGAATACTCCCTCGTTACTTATATAATTACACTATCTTATNAGACAGAGTTACAACGTCCAATGGTTGTAATATCGTTGTGCCGTGAGGAAGCAAACACTCGATATGAATGCCATTATCCATCGCAAATTTGATTATTCGACTTGATAAATGTGATCGATGTCCATCCATAATCAATAAAATCGGTTTTTTAACTGATTTAACGTTTGGTACGAAATGTAATTGTAACCAATCGAAGAAGACGGTTTCCTCGCTCCACCCGGAAGTAGTGGCATTAAAACGAGAACCAGGATAACTGTTTCTTGGCATCCACAGGTCAAATAATTTTTGAGCACGATATATTATGTAAGGAGGTAGAAATCTAAGAAAAATTAGTAAGAAAAAGAAGTACTGTATAGTATAACCTACTTTCCCGCTGCAGATGTACACATGATCAAAGTTGTGTAACTTTTTCCTGAACCACCTTGTGAGCATGTAGCATATTTCGAATCTCTCTTGATAATTACTTGCTTGCGACCAGGATCATCACCAAAAGCAGACTCGGCTACATTATATATTGCATCAGGTGAATTGAACAACTGCAATTTCGCCAACACACGTTCCAGATGATCAAACCAACGATCTAATATTTATGAGTAAGAATAGTTAATAAAGAAAAGCTTGTACTTACCAACAACTAACTGAGTGCAAGAAACTGATCGTACTTTTTCGAGTTTATATGCTTCAACAAGTTTGATCTCATTCTTCCACCGTTGGCGAAAACCATCAAACCAATCGCGTAAAGAAGAATTTTTGTGAATATTACTTTTATTAAGTTCTAACATAAAATCACGCGAAATTGAAATGAGATCTAATCGGGTTAATGGTTGTTGCCATTCTTGATACTTCTGCACAACATGAATCAGGAGTTTTTCTTCTTCAAATGATAAAATCGTTTTAGCACCAGGTTTTCCACCACCTCGACGATTCGATAACCGTGCATAAAGCGTTGATACTGGAATGTGATATTTTTTTCCTACTTCCATTACTGTTAATGTATTTTTTCGAATACATTTAAGTGCGATATCAAAATCAATAGCAGAGTAAGTAGATTGTTTTTTTTCGAATGTATTTACGAGTCATATTGGTTAAAGTAAAAAAGAAATAAATGAAGAAATTAAGTTCTATTCGATTTTGCAAAGACACCGGTAAATATATTTGAATGCGGAATATGAAGAATAACAATGATTTATATGAACAAAGAAAATTTTCTTTCTTATTCGTTTCATCGTCAAATATAGACATTACTACATAGTCCATAGTATCAGCAAATAAGAATAAGACGATCATCTTGTGGCGCATATACGAAAAACACATCACGATACGCTGTAGTTTCTTTTTCAAATAATACATCATGATTTTCTCTTTACAACTATGTTTGAAATATTCGAAGTATCGTACAAAAGCTCTACGATGATCGAGCATTGAAAACTGAATATTTTCATGTGAAGAAACTTTTAAAAATCCATAGGGATCTTTTTAAAGTTTGATTTTACTAAATCCATGTCGAAATACTGAGTTTACACGTTTACCCGGCTTTTTTGGCTTGAATTACACATTCACCCCACATGGGGTAAATGTAGAAAAATTGTTTGCTCAAAACTAGTTTTGCAAAGGTCCAAGCAAAACCTTCTTCGAAGGTTTTAGCAATCGAATTAGTATAGGACTGTAGAGAAGCCTTTTGTGTATCTGTTGGTGAAACAATTGTCAAAAACCGACGTCTCCATCGTTCAGAAATTTGGTTTTATGCTGCAACACAAAAATTGCTGGGTTTATACATTTACCTCAACAGAGAAAGCAAGTTTATCGATTTGGACAAAACGGGGGAATTCGATAACCGAAAACTCGGCCACAAAGAACTTGCTGTAGATAGCTTCACAGACAAGATTTTCAGAAACGGTTTCCACCAATCAATAGAGAATAAGTTTAACTAGATAATTTGTGAAGAAAGTTTTTCAAAATAATCAATAATAAAAAAGTTATAGTAATTATGCCGAGACTCACTCGTTTTGTTTTGACAATCACCCCTCTTTACTCTATTTCAGATTTAGTATCCCTGATTAATTTACTATATTACTTCAATCATGGATAATCCATTTTATCAAGATTTGTGTTCAAATTATTTCAATAACACTCAAGCTATGGAACAAGTAGAGAAACAGAAAAAGAAGAAATGTCGTGGAAATCGAAAACTACAACGCTATCGTCGAAGATTGCGTAAGCAATGTGTAAAATTACCTATCAATGAAAAACTATCAACAGCTAATGTAATCATGGAACCAACAGAGTCAGCAATTATTAGTCCAATTGTTGCTGAGACAGCCGCATCAATGAAAAAGTGCAAAACAGTAGCAACTGCAAAGGATTCAGTTGATTATACTACTACATCAGATGAAGTATTACATCAAAAAACATCACAAGCTTTCAGTCGATCAGAAAAGTTCGATAACATATTCAATCCAGTCGAAAAAATACACTTTATCCGCCAATATATTAGTTTAATTGATCAATTATCTTTTCAGCAACTGCAAGAAAGTCAATGGAAATATTATCATCATATTGGTACGACAAGAAATATTTGGCATGGCCGTATGTCAAAAGTGACAGCTGAGAAATACTCTATCAATTATATATATGGTAGGTCAAAGTCTCTTATTGAACAACGTTTAAAACAAATTTAAAAACATCTAGAAACAACAAAAAGTGCGATTGAACAATTTGAACGTGATATTTTATTGAAGTGTGGCAATATTGATGATTGTATATATGCAATGAAGGAGTTATATTTAATTCTTAGTCAATTAGTACAAGAGAAGCAGCAAGTATTAAGGAATCAATTCGAATATAAAAGAGAAATCTTAGTCTTGGATGCAACTGATCATTACTTATTACAAAGGTTTTTGATTACTGAACCAAATAAGACACACGTAAAAACATAATTTATAAAATATTTTGATTTCATTGTAAACTTTCTTATTTTGAATTTACTTCAGATTATCTTAGCAAGACGTATATGGAAAGCTGCTAAAGAACAATTGATAGCTAAACAAGAGATTGCTTTGCTACAATATCGGCTTCTATCAACATCATTAATATCTAAATCAGTATCTGATTTAGTTCATGAAATGATCGACAATATCGATACTAATATTAAAACTTTGGATGATACTGTGGAAACGTCTTCAACTACTGACTGCTTATCGAATGAAATCGAGAAATTGAAGTCATCCAAGAATGATATTATTCATCATGCAATTTTAACTCTTGAGAAAAAAATTGAAAACTTGAACAAAATCATACAAAATGAACGCAATAAATTTTTTAAAAGGAACAGATTCATGGAATCAACATCACAATGGCAACAGATGGTACTTGATGCTATTGAAAATCGTCGAATGCACATGACTGAGCGTGCAAACTATATCAAAACTTATAAATTAGCAACATAGTTCAATACAAGTAACGATGCAGGAAAATAAATGAAAGAACTTAGAATACGGCTTAAAAGAACAAGAACAACATTTGTCATAGTTTATAAACTTTTATTAAGTCAAAATAATCATTCTTTGCTTTATTCAAATGTTTTTATTAAGTTTCTCTTTGTTTTTAAAATCTAATAACGAATTATTTCCTATATTTCTTCTACTTCTAGATATATGATCCATTCCGATAGCTTAAACTGCCAAAAAATTACTTTAATTTAAACTAATTCCTGATATTAATACTTAGGGAAATTGTTCATAATGTACGCACTATTTACTTCATCAACTCCAAACGACATTAAAGGGAGATCAATAACGGCACAAGTAGAGAAATATTCGAAATAGATCCAGAAAATGAATTATTCCACTAAATTAATCATCCTCCTTCATCAAGAAACAGTCTCACATGCACCAACATCAAATGGAAAGTATGAGACTATTCTTTTTCTCCTCCTCTATTTTAGACATTCTTTCGCGTCCATAGTCTCTCTTAGAAATCGAACAAGAAAAAGAATGCCATAACATACTTGCACGTTCTACGGACAAAACTGAATATTATAATCATTATCTGAATACACAGAATACCTGCACATATATCATGAGAAAATAGTTTATCTGATAAATATAAAGACATACAAGAGTCCAAAGTTCCAATTCTTCTTTACAACTATAAAAAGCCTGTCGATTCTCATTCATATATTCATATTTATTTCATCTCATAATTCAGTAAGTACAAATCATTTCCAATTACACAACATCACAGGACTTATCCAACGTATCCAGCTTTAGAACCGAATCAACACTTCTTATTGAAACACAACGGACAATCACACCGCTTCAATAAAACAAATGGTTCTTTTACCAACTCAGAGAAATCCCTCAACACATTTTCGACCCAATTACAACACCAACCCAATATAAACAATCATAAAAATCATTCTCAATGACAATCATTAAAAATGGAACCTAAAAGATACCACCAATAAGCAGACCAAACAATCAATATCATATGAACAGTCAATACTAAGGTAGATAAAAATAATATAGACCAATAGCCGCACCATTACGACATTCTCCTTTGCTTCAAAATTTAGAAAGTTTACGATTGATTTTAGAGGATCTTTTCAATCTTTACAAATTAATTTTGATTTTTTCTTGCAATTATGCAGATTCTTCTACCGCCTGATGATTCGTCATTTAATTATGATGAAAATCGATTTGTGGTAGTTAATTGTTCAAACACACCCATCACATGCAGAATTAACCTTCAGAATATATTGACGTATTATTTAGGTTGACGAAGGATACATATGAAGTTGGAAAAAACCAACTATCATTCAAAATACGGCCGCACAAGGAGAAATAGTTGACAGCTATACTCGAGCAAGTATAATCGAAAGGTGAAAAAGAAAATCATCCAAGTGTGACCGTAACGCAGTTTATTCACATGAGAAAATGTGCATCTGAACAAGGCCAATGCGTTAAACATTCAAAACCATGTGAGTTATTGTGATCAGACAAATAACTTAGACCATTTTTTTCATTCGATACAGCCTACCAGGACCAGATGGAGACCAGGGTGAATCGTATTATTGGTTTGCTTCCTTGAGTTTCACCGCTTTGCTTATTATTTTTGAATGTACATCAAGAAGTATCAAAATAAAAGAGTGAATGATTGATTTCAGGCTGAAATTATGTATTGGCAAAGCTTCGACGTCGCCATGATAAATGGAAAATATCATAATAAGCCTTCTCAGAGGCTTCGTTCGGATTTCAATGATTTCTTCGGCTGCAGATACTGAATAATGTTCTAGTCAATCCTCGAAAGTCTGTAGGCTCCCGCCGAGATCTAGAAAAGCTGTCGAGTATTTACTATTCTACCCAGGACGAACAATCCGAGTCTCGGATATCCATGGAATATACTTGGATTTTTGTTGGTTTTCATCCAGAAATTGTAATTTCATGTAAAACTCGATACTTTCCCGCTATGGGGTCCTACTGTTGCTTTCCGAGACACCACTTCCCATCGGAAGGTGTCGATAAGCGTTGGAAATTACCCGTTTTTCTCGTTCCCTACAGGATTGTATAGTGCATCTTTGTCCTGAGTAGTCTTCATGAAGGGTGTGTGTGAGTGAGGGTGAGATGTGTGGACTAGCTGCCATGATCACGATTTTACTCTAACTACGAAGATCATCAGATGACTTCACAGACGTTGAAAAATGATTGAAAAACGATTCAAAGTCAGTGTCGGAATCAGAGATGTCGACAGGGTGGGGCTAGAAATTAACTTTTCGCCCTGCCCTGCAAAATACTAGGGAATAGCAGGGCGCTGTCTCTCTGCCCTGGAAATTGTAGAAGTTAGTTTTTGTTCCAGATAAAACAGTGGGTGTGGGTGTGGGATTGTTTCCGCAATGCAGACACCCACACCCACACCCACACCCACACCCACACCCACACCCACACCCACACCCACACCCACACCCACACCCACACCCACACCCTTTGTTGTCCGTACCACTGGAGAGAGAAAGGAAAAAAGAAAAAGAAAACTGTCCTCTCTTTGTTTTCAAACGTGCACGTCAGTCATGTTATTCTGAAGAAGAAGAGCGCTGCTCTTTGAAACGTCAATACTTTGCGTTGAAATAAACATCCCGTATCAGGAAGAGACACTCTCACCTCAGACAATGTCTTCAACCTTCCTTTCACGAACTGAATGGATTCATATGATTCTATTCTTTTACTAGCAAGGAAGAAAAGTAAAAAAAATAAAACGATGATGGGGTTAGTACTGGTGATGATGTGTTAGTAAAAATCGTTCGTTCTGGTATAAATAATAGCTGGAATAAATAGGCGATTGCGACAATAAATATGATGGAGTATATATATCTAAAAAGGAAAAGAGTATTTTATGAATTCGATGTTCAATCGTTATTTATAAAAACAAACTTACTGTTTCATGTTTTCTTCTAACAACCACTACAACAACCAGCAGCACAAATATAATAAGAAGTACCAGAAGAAAGAGGACCAGTACCACCACGACCAACAGTAGCACAAAAATAAGGAGAAAAAATACCAGCACGACGACAACTACAACCATTATTACAACTTGCACGTTGTTCAAGGTTATTGTCTAAGGCTTCCAGCAGATCCTGAAAATCACGGCCGTGAAATGATCTTGCTTCTATTCCTCCCCAGCTTGTTGCCAATAACATCAAGATGGCAATAAAACAAACCAATTGGGTGCCTTTGTGCATTGTGGTCCGTTAGTATTTGATGATTGAAAGAGACAGTGGGAGGTACTTCTAAAGCGGTAACTAAATGGTATGATTCTATGCTTGTGCTTCGGCTTTAAATACAATCGATCGTCGAAGGTATAAGCTACACACAAATTCGTTCCGGTGATCAAACACGCTGGTTACTCTTTTTCTCTCATAGGGAGAGACAGAGGGATCCTGTTTTGATGCGAAGGTAAAGACGTCACCACGATTCGTTACGCTAAGAGAGAACGATAAACATTTATTTTCCTCGCACAAAGAGACGCTTTTCTCATACACAATTCTGTAGATTCTTACCATACAGCAACCCATTGACTATGACGTCTACATGTATCGTTTTTAATCAGTCATAAGAGGTTTCATTATACAGCGCAAATCAACACGCACATTTTTCATTCATTATCGAAGAGTGAGGTCATTAGGAGGTTAAAATTATCAATATCCAGTGAAGAGGATAAACAGGCATAACTATGTACGTAGAAATGTTGAATTCAAACGACCGGCACACCAATCTTGAGGGTGAGGGTGAGGGTGAGGGTGAGATATTCATCGATTAGATTCAAAGCACCATACGACGCGTTTCGATCCTTGCTTAAGGGATCATCATCAGGCATGTTCTGAATCAAAGAGCTACATAATATTGTGACAATCTCTCTGACGTGCCTTGTACGCGTGATAGGATTTTCCTCATCTAATGGATTATCCGTATTATGTCCTTATCTCAGTCCATTTTGATGTATTTCGATATGATAGATTCTTGCGTTCTCTTCTCTGTGGACGAGTATATAAACGCGTGTCTTGTATCAGAACGATGCGATTGATGAGGAAGAAATAAATAAGCGTAGTTTCATCAGCGCATACATCTCTTTCATCAAAAATCGTCACAAATATCATCGAAGACACTCTCAATTCGAAGTCATGTTCATATAGAAGTCAATGAAGACAACCAGTATGAAGAATGACAATCGAAAGGAGTAACATTCGATAATTGAATCATAGCTAAACCGACGGATGAGATATTCGTCGATTAGATTCAAAGCACCATACGACGCGTTTCGATCCTTGCTTAAGGGATTTGTACCTTGCAAGTGGTGATGAATGGTACGATATAGAATATAATGACGTTTTCTTATATATTGAACTTGTTGGCGGAGAAGTAAATCGGTGAATGGACAGTCGGATGGTAATATTGTATGTTGGCGACATCTTAGGTGTCAATATAGATGGCGGGTAGGATTGCTGTTGCACGGTTATTGTCTTGGCGTACTCTTTGGTGATTGTCTAAATTGGATGATTCCATTTTGGTTCAGTTGATCAATTTGGATGGACGAAATGGATCTGAAAATAGTCGAATTCTAGCTTGAATTCTAGGAGAGAAATTGAAAATGAGAATTTCTGTAGATTTTCCAAGTGTTTGCTAGATTAGTACAAAATAGTGGTTATTAACGAGGTGATCGAAAGCTTTTTTATTGTTTGAAGTTTATGATGATAGTTTACAAAAAAATTACAATAGAATATGGTATTACAAGTATAATAGAAAAAGTGAGTGTTTAGGCGTTATGAGCGTTCTTTCTTTCGTTGCTGTTCGATAAATTGCTTGATAAATGTTAGTGAGTCGATGCTGTCTGTTTTTCTTAAGATTGTACGTGGAGGTTTTTTATGAATAAAGAACTGGTCTAATGTAGGATTGGTAGTTGTGACTAGAATGACTTTGACTTGTTGAAGTGGTGAAGTTGGAAAGGCATAGTAATGTTTCCACCAATTGTAGAATTGGTTTGAATAAACCTTGGTAATGCTGGAATCAAACAAATATCGTGGATACATCACTTCCTTGTTCCACACTTTTGGTTGTAACACTAATGGATTTTCAATGGGATTGTACATCATGATGTTTAGTTTCTTTTCACGACGTGTTGATTGATGTAACGATGTTTGATGTAGACGTTGGTAAGCATCTTTATTCAATTGTGATGATATAGATATTGCATCGTTCAACTGAAAGAAACGTTGAAATTGTTCAGTAATAAAACGTGGTGGATATTTGTTTAATAATAATGACATATCTGTTCGTATGCATTCCGAGTGGAAATCTTCGACAGTTGAACAAACACGAGCAGCACGTAACAATGCTGCATATGGAATGTTACGATAGATATGGCGCGGATGATCAGATGTATAGGGTAACACATATGGCTCGGTTGTTGGTTTATGATAGATGGATGTGCGTAAGTGTCCACTTTCATTGCTAACTGTTACATCGAGGAAATGAACTGACGTATTAATGGATGTTGAAATTTTGATGTTAATGTCCTTGTTGTTCGCCTTCTCTAGTTCAATATTGATCTCTTCGATGCTTTGATCTGTGGTCATGAATATATCATCAATGTATCTATTGAAAAAGAAGACTTGTTAATACTTCTAGTAGTGTTCGTAACCTACACGTGTCACTTACCTTCCATACATGCCGTGATGTAACCGTTGATGTTCAATTAAATCTTGTTCCCATTCGAACATATAAATATTGGCTAATACTTGTGTGAATGCTGAACCCATTGCTCCACCTCGAATTTGTCGATAATATTTGTTGTTATAAGCAAAACAATTTGAGGGTGGGTGTGAGGGTGTGAGTTCTATAGAGATAGCTACGACTATAGTTTCGACCTTTCTCAAGGGCCGTTCGTCAGGTAGCTTAGTGATTCGGGCCTATAGTAGAAACTTGGTACATGAGATGGTTTGTAATGGTAGAATGATTTGGTTTTAAAGGTTTTGTTGATTAAATACGGTGTGGGTATGTTTGTGTTCTTTGAATAGTTAAAATTCTTTAGGTAGGTTTTTACGAGTGGCTTCTAGTTCTGAAGGGCTAGTTGGGCGCTGCTCTATTTGTCCTGGGAGAGTGTATTAAAATGAAATTTATTTTGGTCATCGGATGAATTGGGATAACAGTATAGAAAACTGCACAAAGAGAAATCTATAGTTCGATTGTGAAGTTTTATCCAATGGTGCCAGCTAGTTTTGAAGTAGATGTTTGCTGACTGCTGACCGGTTCACATAAGTATCCAATATGAAAGTCATTATGGCAGGTTTCAGACGCATTGGTAATAGTATGGCGACTAAAATAGCAGATGAGATTATTAGAGGGATGATTCAATGAAGATTTACATCCGTTGTGGTGTCGTGCTACTTACGAGTGAGATATGTGGGTTGTCAAGTATCTGATGCTGGGGAAGATTTTGATTTCTGTCGAATGCTGGACGATCGAATCCAGGTACTCGGTCTGGTACCTGGCGAATTAACGGCGTGAGATGAATTGTGTCTTGTTCTTCTTGTTGCAGCAACCCTAAGGTCGTGATTGATTGTGATTACGAAAGGAAATGAGTGAGCAAGCTAGGTGCAAGTACTCACGTCTGGTTTGAGTTGACTTTGACGTGTAATGTGCTGATCGATCGCTGTTTCGGCAATGACCGAGAAAATGAATGACAATTACTGTTATCGAGAATACAATCAGTGTAGCGAGTAGAGTTATAATGAGAATAAAAATCAGAATGATGGCTGGTGAATTGAAGTCGAATGGACTGGTAGCTGATAGTTGAGCTGTTTAATACGGATAGACAGAAAACACAATGAATGATATTTCTTTGCGATTGAATCGAAAACATACTAGTCATTTGTGGTGCTGTCGTTGTTGTTGTCATAATGGCAGGACTCATAATATTTAAACAAGGCTCAGCCATCTCAAGCAGATGTTGTTCCAATTGGTTACACGGGATATATTTGTGTCCAACCCAGCAGTCCTGTGCATTTTTGCGATAGAATTGGCACGGATTCGTTCGGAACGATCGACTGCTTGATGAAATGTGTTTCATCTGAAAGCTGACTCTGTTTCGAATAACTTTTGAAAATTCGCTAAGAAATACGATCTGAAACAGATTCCGAAACTAATCTAGGTAAAGAATTCTTATAGTGGTAAGGTATCGTAGAAATTGAGAACGTTACGGTTTTATACTTGCTCTTCAAGACGATTAAATGAGTCAGATGACTGAAACTTATTATTTAAACGTGGAAGNTATTGTTCACAAGGGTGTGAATTAAAAACAGAGATAGCTACTACTATAGTTTCGACCTTTCTCAAGGGTCTATTCTTCAGGTAGCTTAGTACTTCGGGCCTTTAGTAGAAGGTTGGTACATGAGTTAGTTTGTAGTTGTGGAATGATCTTTTTTAAGGTTTTTGTTGATTCAGTATATGGTGGTTATATCTTTATTCTAATAATAGATATAATTCTTCAGCGAGGCTTTTACGGGCGGTAGGCAGTTCTTAAGGGCAATTTGCGGTTTGCTTTACTTGCCCTGGATGATTGTGGAAAATTGAAATTTATTTTGGTCATCGGATGATGTGGCTCAATAGTATAGAAAACTACAAAAAGGAAAATGTACAGTTCAATCGGTAAGTTTTATGGAGTGGTCCCAGTGATTCTTGAAGTAGATGTTTGCTGACTGTTGGTGGGTGCACATATGTATCCAACATGAAAGTCATTATGGGAGGTTTCAGACGCATTGGTAATAATACGGTGACTAAAATAGCAGATGAAATTGTTGGAGGGATAATTCAAGGAGGATTTACATTCGTTGTGGTGTCGTGCTACTTACGAGTTGGATATGTGGGTTCTCAAGTATCTGCTGCTGGGGAAGATTTTGATTTCTGTCGAATGGTGGACGATCCAATCCGGGTACTCGGTCTGGTGCCTGTCGGATTACCGGCGACAGATAAATTGTGTCTTGTTCGTCTTGGTGCGGCAACCCTAAGGGCGTGATTGATTGTGATTACGAAAGGAAATGACTGATCAAGCTGGGCGCAAGTACTCACATCTGGTTTGAGTTGACTTTGACGTGTAATGTGCTGATCGATCGATGTTTCGGCAATGACCGAGAAAATAAATGACAACAACTATTATCGAGAATACAATCAGTGTAGCGAGTAGAGTTATAATGAGAATAAAAATTAGAATGATGGCTGGTGAATTGAAGTCGAATGGACTGGTAGCTGATAGTTGAGCTGTTTAATATGGATAGACAGAAAAGACAATGAATGATACTTCTTTGCGATTGAATCGAAAACATACTAGTCATTTGTGGTGGTGGTGTTGTCGTTGTTGTTGCCATAATGGCAGGACTCATAATATTTGAACAAGGCTCAGCTATCTCAAGCAGATGCTGTTCCAATTGATCACATGGGATATATTTGTGTCCAACCCAGCAGTCCCGTGCATTTTTGCGATAGAATTAGCACGGATTCGTTCGGAACGATCGACTGCTTGATGAAATGTGTTTCATGTGAAAGCTGACTCTGTTTCGAATAACTTTTGAAAATTCGCTAAGAAATACGATCTGAAACAGATTCCGAAACTAATCTAGGTAAAGAATTCTTATAGTGGTAAGGTATCGTAGAAATTGAGAACGTTACGGTTTTATACTTGCTCTTCAAGACGATTAAATGAGTCAGATGACTGAAACTTATTATTTAAACGTGGAAGATTATCAAAAACGCCATGATCGTTGAATAAACAGAACAGATATATTTGATTTCGTATTCATATCTATAGTGGTACTCCCAACAATGCTGAATTATACGACCCATTAACCGGTATTTGGACAAAAGCAGCAAACATGAGTGCTGTACGAGTATATCACACAGCATCGATCTTAGAAAATGGAACAGTATTAGTTATAGGTGGGTCTAATAGTACTGCTACTCATGATAGTGTTGAATTGTACGATTCATTAACTAACACTTGGATTAGCAAATCAAATATGAAAGTCCCAAGAGAATATCACACAGCAACTATACTCACTAATGGATTTGTGTTAGTCACAGGTGGTTGGGATAGGACAAGCAGTAAAAATACTGCTGAATTATATAATCCAGTAACAAATACGTGGCAACTAATAGAAAGTATGAGTATAAAACGCAGTTATCATACGGCATCCATTCTGGTAAATGGAACAATATTAATCACAGGAGGAGAATCTAATGGAACTGACATCAACTTTAGTTCTGATTTATATTAATATATAAATTATCAAATTTAACGTTGTATAATCACATTATTTAACGCTTATCGCTTTTAATCATTGAACTTTGAATAAAACAAAATTAAAAAAACGAAGTTAATTGAATATGCGAACGTAACAACACATTTTTTCAAAAAACAAAGAATTTAACTTTTAATGTGAAGTACAATATCGTTCTTGATAAATTCTTCAAAATTAAGTTCATAATCTTTATTTGTATCAGTTAATTAAAAATAACGAAGAAGTAAATACTGATTAGATTTCAGATATAATCGTAGATATAAAAACAACGAATTCATTAATATTAGTTGAAACTGATTTTTTTAATCAATATCAAATGAATCAAATACTTCAAGTACATATTCTAGTATAAGGAATGATCGAATTATTCGAATAAAATCATCAAATAATAATGTATATTTCTCTTTTGACACTTACATGTTGTTGGTTTATTTTACCTTCATCAAGAATTTCATGTTTACCAGTCATTGAAGCGTTTTAATCGATTAGAATATGAAAGAAATCACAACTATACTATGTACCGATAAGAATATGGTATTATCGATCGTTTGTTGACAAAAAGAGAAAGATCTTTTCAATGTAATTATAACTTAAACTTTTTAAACGATAGAAGAATGTTAGTAAATACATGTAGTTTTCATACCTTTGATGAAGAGCAAAAATTATCGTATGGGTTGTGTTGTTGTCAACACAATGGTGATTGTCCTTGAGGATTATTTATTTTAATAAAGTATTCAACAATTTAATCAGTATACTATATATCATATTCATAAACATTGTTTGAACTATTGGTTCATTCAGAAAATTTATAATGATTTAAAACTTTGATTAAGATTTTGAATAGTTCTTATTCCACCTTCTATTCTTATATTTTCACAAATTGATCGTTCTGATGTTGAGGGTGAAGTTCGCTCAGATGATTCTGTAGTTGCTATCATATTAGAACAGTTTTCAAAATGTTTTTTCAGGTTCAAGAAACATCAGAAAGCGATTAGAATGATAAAAAGATTAGTTTGAGGTGTTTGCATAAAATTTCACCGAAATGACTTTTTTCCAATCAATATCAAAGAAACTTCCTATAGGACATTCTCCTGGGTTTAAGATCAGTCTTTAGACAGGAATGTCGTTACCAATAGAAGTAAATGAATCGAATGAGTTCGCAACTGGAAAGAAGATGAAAGAATCTTGAGGTAAAAAATTTGCAGCTGATATACCCACTAGTATCAAATAAATACAAAAGATAAATATACTAATTTAAGGAAATATCCGAATTATTGAAGACACTAGAACTATCTTCAACATCGAATTGTTCTTGTTTCGGATTTGTTTCAACATAATCATCAGAAGATGTTATAATATTAAAAGACATTAACATTGTTCATTTTCTACTATTACTATGAATAAGTTTTCTGAAACAGAAGAGATTTTTTTGCAAGAATAACATTTTATTGATCTTCTGAGTGTCTGAAGTAGTTCTTCTTCCAGGAATGGTATTTTTCGGTACTGAATATAATCTTTCAACAATGGTATTTGATGCCGATATGAGTGAAGTATTTATCATCCATATTGATATCGTTTCTGAAAATTCATCATAAAGAAAATAAATACTATTCATTTCAATGATTCGTGTATATAATTACATTTATATTATCGAAAAATACTTGCAATACGTAGATGTTACTAATATATTAGGTAAAATTTCGGAGCAAAAATCGGATTTTGGAATGAAAACACTCGACTTCGAAAAGCCCTACTTTATCCTCATCCACTCTCAAGATTAAAAATAATAATCAAATTGCAACATAGAAAATAAAAGTTGTTCTTTAATTCATGAATATATAAATAATAACAGATATGCGGTTGACAAAAAAATCTATGTATACATCCAATCTTCATCGTCCGGTAATGTTTCTTCTTTAGAAGAAGACGAAGAAGAAGATAAATCAACTGCTGGAATATGTTCACAAGTCTGATTACATACTTTAACAATAAAATAATTTAAAATATGATAAAAATCATTGCAAAGTTTATGAAGATGTATATTCATTCGATTTCCTGTATTATAGAAAGTCCATGCAGCAACGATCGGCATTACAATAACACTTGCAACAACGCCAACAATAGATACTACTCGTAATGCTCCTGCTACAGTAGGAACTGCTAAACGTAGAGCATCGTCTGATACTTGTACTACTGTACTTGTGACAGTCATACCCAGAGAAGCAACGCTAGATCCAAGAACATGCTTCTTTAGTGATTTCGAAGTTTTGCGTTGTTCATTACAAGTCGATTGTATATCAATAGATTGTCCTCTTTGAAATTGTTTTCTTTCATTTGATATATGTTGATTTTGAGATATTAAATAATGAAAACAATTTGAACTAATTTTCTCTTTTGGAATAATTAATTTATATTGTATTAAATATTTTTCTAAAGAATTTTTTGTTTCATATAAAATATTTGTCGAAGAAAATCTATCATGAACACCGAATACTTGACAAATTTTTTCTTTACCAAAATACGTAGGTATTTCATCAGCAAAAGGTATAATACTACAAGCAGCACCCAATAATTGATATGAAGTATTGGAAACAACATAACCACGTCGAAAACAAATATTAATTATATTTTTTGAAATAAGAAGAGCAAGTTTATATATTTGTTCAATTCGACAATCTTTTCTAGATAATTCAAAGATTTTTTCTTTTAATAATTCGAAATCAAATTGACCAATAATTGTATCTTTTAAATCATTATTTTGATCAATTGTTGTTAGAAAAACCTTTTCTGATTGTTTATTATCTCTTGAAGTAATTAATGATTGTTCATATGTTTTTTTAATTATACTACGTATTCGTTTTTTATTATAGGTTTCTGTATTAAATTCATTTCCAATTTCTTCTTGATAAAGATCTTTAAAAAGAATATCAGCTTTACTTCGAATAAGAATACATTTACGTTTTAAAACTTGTGTTATATAATCAAAACATTTTTGATTAAAATCAGTAAAAGATTTCTCAAATACAATAAGATACAAGTAACGCTCATCCTTTGGATTCGCTGACCCTTTTCTGAAAGATTTTTTCTAATGCTGAACACATTCAGAGATTTCGAAAGAGAAAAAATGCACTGCGATTGCTACTAGTGTTCAACTGAATCATGGCACTATGTCACGCACTAGAGTGAATAGGATACAGAGGTCTTTTTATGAATCAGACCGATTTGCCATTTGCCCGTGGACAGTTCTCCAGCACTAACTATGTTGACTGGAAAATTCATCGCTCAACGGCTAGTCAGACGGCCACTCACGGCCAACCATTGACCTTTGTCATCTGTTTTTCTATTTCCATGTCACGCGCATGGAAATTTTCATAAATGCTTTACTAAGTCACTCATAGACGGACGATATACAGTAGACTACTTGAAAATTTTGAACATTCGCCTGTGTTTTCCAGCGATAATCCGATTCTTTTCTCTTCTGTCAACAAAATGATACCTTGTCGAATATTTTCATTGAGGAATATCCATTCGTCAAATTCCTTTCAAAACTGTCTGAAGCCTGACAAGGTTATTCTAAGCGTACACTTTAGGATTAATCTAGCATTTAAACGCCTAGTCGTTCGTCGACCTCCCTCCAGTCGGCCACTCACGGCTAGCCGTTGACGCACATGATCAGTTTTCATAGTTTTTCCATATAAAGAAGTAGCTCGTTGATGCTGAGTCGATCTAGGATCGAAGTTATCAAAACCCTTCGTAACTGTGTAGTTTACGGTACATATTCTACTGCTCTGTTCAATTTGAAGCGCTGATAATGTGCAATCCCTATTCTCGAAGCTCGATAACACATAAATTATATTCGTTCAAAAATCATTGGCTTTAGGTGAGACAGTGATAAATCTCATCTTTCAAGTAATTTTTAAAACAAACGTCTAGTCGTTCGTCGACCTCCCTCCGGTCGGTCACTCACGGCTAGCCGTTGCCAAGCTGTCTCTGTTATTCCTTTCCCCTTTGATCAACTTCCAAACTGAACGATCGGGTTTTCTTTTATTGTCGCTTCGACAGTCATGATCTTCTATTCA